ATCTATTTTTTCTTTCTTTATAAAATTATGAGCCACACAACTTTGTTTCACACTTTCACCTACATAAGATACCTATCTTATATGACATAATATTAACAACTCTAATGATTTAAATGATAAATTCTTGTTCAATATTATTAATAAGGTTTTTTATTAATCATAATATTACTTAAGAGCATTTAATATATCTTATTAATATATTTAATTATTTACGAAATAAGTACTTTCTTTAATTTTAGGAATAGTATTTATTATGTTATCGGAGAAATTTTTTACTTTTATATACATATAAAAATATATGAAATCTATTTTTTTTCTTTTCTTCTTACATGGCCCGATACGGGTCTTATATATTTTTATGTGTGTATAAAAAATAAAATTATTTTTATTACATGAGAAACATTAATTTCTTAATTTAATATAATTTTTTTATTAATGTTATTTAGTTATTTTTTTAACTTTCGAAAGACGCTTGTCAACAAATATTTATTATTAATTATTATGTGAATTTTTTTTTATGTGGTTGAAAACTTGCCTCGTGGCGCAGCTTGCTCAACCAGCCTATTACTTGTACAATCTGTTTTTAGATGATTTGATATCATTGCTATCGTCATGTTCGATCGGAGAAAAAATTCAATGGACCGAGTTAAAGGGAAATATAATGCTATCGTCATATTTATCACACATTTTTTTATTAAATAAGAAAAAAAGTTTAGAATTAAAAAAAATAGAAAAAAGAAGTATGGATAAAAAGAGGAAAATTCCCCCCTATTCAGTAAAAAGGATCCGGTCACTGCTCTCCGTACATTGAAGTTTTTATCATTCGATAGGAATCGTTATATGCTAATAAAATAAAATAAAATAAAAGTGTATTCTCTTAGATTAAAATTGATATTAATTCAATTGACGTATGAAAGTTAAGCAAGTGAGGATGAAAATATGTGTTCGATCTTTTTAAATATTATTATTTAGAAAAATTTAAATAAATAAGGAATTTAAATAAATGAAATTTAATTATCATTAATAAAAAAATAAATACACGTAAAATTTTAACATGAAAAATCATACGTTTCCAAATAAAATACCGACATAAAAAAACCAAGTAGGATTGTGGAAGTAGTCATTGGTCAAGACTCGAGATCTTCGAGTAAACCACCCTTTACCAAATCCTAGATGTTGGGAACAGCACGATGGTCGATGGACCCACCTTTGCATTATTGATGGGCAACAGCCCTAGTTCATGCATGTAAAACGTGTCTTTTTTATTAATTATAAAAAAACATTTTGACCAAGTAAGAAAAAAAAATAAAACCAATAAATTAATAAAATGTTTATTGCACATTAAATATAGCTGTGTAAACAATTAGATAAACATAACTGTAATTAAATAGTAAAATTTATAAAAAATAAAATAACATATAAAAGCTCGTGTTTAACATTATCAAAATAAATAATGGCTAATAACAATTGCTTGTTGGTTCACTTGCTGATTCTATGCCATATTATTATTTATTTTTAATCGTGTTCTCAAATTATTTTAGAATAAATAATGTAATTTATATTATATACCAACTTTATTTATTCATTTATTATTTATTTCCTTTGATTTACGTCATCATATATATTTTATATAAAAATTCAAAGTTATCATCTTGTTAGTGCAATTTTATATGTTATTTTTAAGTATAAAAGTAGGAGATAATAAAATTGATTATATTTTAAAGAGAAGAATCCGTTTAGAATTTTTTATTTATAAATTTCTGCAAATTACATTATGTATTCTCAGAAGTATATAGTGTAATTTAATGTACTTTTAAGAGTATACAGTGTAGTTTATAAACAAAAAGTTTATAAATATAATCCTTCCCATATTTTAATATGTATCCTCACATATTTTTTTTAAATTTAAAATGTACTGTGTGGATAATGCATGTCTTTGTTATTTTGTTACTGTGGCCTAATTTTTTCATTAGAAGAATGGGGACGACAAATATTGAAGTCTAAACCATTTTAATCATGAGTTATGATATCATTATGTTTAACTATTTTTTTTTTCAAATTTAAGCCATTAAATAAAGGTACATAAATGATTTAATTTTTTGTCTAAATATTATTTTGTCTTTGTTCATATGTATGTGTTGGATTTTCCTCCTTGCTTGATGGGTAAGCACTTAAAAATGTCGCAGTGCCAGTGGGGTCATAATTTGAGACATGAATTCACAATCTTCACTCACAAAGTCACAGGGGCGAGGTAGGAAGACGAAATGATGGTGTGATTCTTACTAAATGAAACGTGGTGCCCGTGGTAATCTTTGAGTATAATATTAATATAAGGGAAGGATATTGTGACAACCAAGTTGTGTTATTACCAAGTGACTACCAATCAATCGCACCGTTAGATCAATTATGTTGATCCAACGGTTATATTTATTTTCATTTTTGTATGGTCATGAATCCCCATATTTAAAGTGAAAGCATTAAATATGAGAAATCATAACCATACAAATGTGAAAATAAATATAAAGTATTAAATTTAGGGAATTATGACCATACAAAGATGGAAATAAATATAACCGTTGGATCAATATAATCGATCTAACGGTAAGATTGATTGGTAGTCACTTGGTAGTAACACAACTTGGTTGTCACAATATCCTTCCCCTTAATATAATACAATATTATATTTACTGCACGAGTATAAAAACATCTCATCCATTTTCACATTTCCTAAACAACCACAGGAAAAGTGTCACCCTAAAAAATACTAACGATTTATTGGTTTACACCCGTTTTTTTTTTTTTATCACAAAACTTGATATTGACTTCGTAGGAGAATAGATACACAAAGATAATTTCAAATATATTGTTAAAAATTCAATAATCTTTATACAGATCGAAGTTTTGTAATAAAACGTATGAGTGGTTATGCACGGTTTTGCCCGGTATAAATTATTATTTTTTAAATAATTTTTTTAAAAGTTTAGATCAGGATAGACATGCTTCCATACAAGACAATGTAACTTTATTAAAGATTTAAAGTGAAATAATATATCGTCAATAAAAAAAAAAACTGAAAATCAAAAGTCATGGTTAGTAAGAGTAAGAGGTTCGATCATCTGTGTCAATATTTCTCATTGCCGCAAATAAAATTATTGTACGAATATCATTATACTAAAATGAAGTCATTGTGATTCCATATTATGAAAATAGAAGCTTGCATTTATTGAAGAAATAATACATGTAAGATGGACGCCTACTCAAACAAGTGAAATGAATTTATAATATAGGGTATTCACTTTTGTTTATTAAATTAGAATATGTTTATGTTTAATTCTTTATTATATTTTTAAAAATAACATACAGTCATTATTTTATTAAAATAACATGTTTTATTTTTTTTCAGAATTTTAATCTTAAATTTTCTTTTTTTAATCTGATTATATATACTCTTATTCAATTTTAAACAGATATGTTCTTAATTTATATATTTTTTCAAAAAAGAAGAAGCGAATTTTGAAAAAAAAAAAAATCTATGAATGCACGAGTATTCAGTTTTCACTCTCATTCGGGATTGTAATAGCTACGGACCGAAAAATATGAGTAAAAAAATAAATAAAATAATACCATTAATTGTTTATGCAAGTAACTCAAAAAATTTATTGTACGTAAAAAATTTCACATCCCTAGTTAAATGTCAACATATTCAAGATTAGAAGGTATCGTAAGATCACATGCCAAATAAATTAACGTAGTTTATTAAAAATGTTATATATTTATCTCATTTTACATAAGAAAAATCAAGTTATTATACATACATAATAAAGATGGATTTTACTTCTATTTTTTTTCTCCTTTTATTTATGAATCTCGTTTGTGATATTATTTTTGCTACATGAGATAATTCTTCTCATATAATATAAGAAAATAATTTTCCTATATTAAATAAATAAAAAAAAGTTTCCACTGTTCCATATAAACTATGAAGTGAACACAAAGAAAAACAATGCCACCTGCCAGCAACTTGGAAAGAGACATCATTATATTTTATTTTTCACATGACAAAATTAATCAGTAAATTTATAATAATATTGTAATTTATTTTTAAAAACATCCCGTAAAGCACTTTCTTTTTTCAATGTTTTACTTATGCTTTTTTTTCCATACGTCTAAACACAATAATAATTTTTGATAAAAAATAAGGGAAAAATGTTTGTCATTTTAAATAACAGAAAATTATGTCATTTTAAGAGAGATACAGACACAGAAAATTTGAATTTTAAATTAAAAATCCACTCACTTTCTCTCTCTTATGATTTTTATTTTTCTGTGTCTATTTCTCTCCTAAAATGACATAACTTATGTCATTTTAAATGACAAACACCAAACCTAAAAATGAAAAAGAAAATAATAGGTAAATTTTGTTTTACAATTAGTATATTTTAAATTAAAACCTAAACAAAATAATACAGGATGTTAAAAAATAATATATTTTATTTACAAAGTGAAATTAAGAAGAACCCTAACCACCAATTTTTTTTTAAAAAAAGTAAGAAGAAACCTATTGTTTATTTACCAATATTTTCGACAAATAGTACAAAGTAAAGCACTAAATTCAATCAATGGCCATTAATTGGACCACGTAGTCCGTAGTCAAGGACCCTACTCTTTTATGGTCTGTCCTAATTCATGATCAATTCCACGTGGGTCATAAATTTAGGTTGCTAGAAATTATTGACTAAAAAACTCGATTAAAAAAAAAATTGTTTATCTTTTTAAATAACACAACTTATATCCTTTCACTCTTACGAAACGACGGGACCCACTTCTTTATTTTTTTTCAACTCTTTCTTTTCCTTTATCTATTTCTTTTTCTCTCTTAAAATGATACAATTTTATCTTCTTTAAAATAACACACATTTTTTCCTTTAAAAAAAAATCACAAAATTTGACCCACGCACATAGCAAGCAAATTGAAATTATAACTCTAATCTCATCCAATCACAATATAATAAACGGAAGCGAATTTGCCCACTTCCATGGCGTGTTACAACTAAGAAATAAAAAGCCCCCTCATTCAACTTTCATATTTATCACAAAGATCCTTCCCCTGAATTTTCATAACCATTCCCAGACACAATTTTTTGTTCTCTCAAAGATGACCGGAGAACACACTATATCTCCTGCTTCTGATGATGCCCTCAAGGCACCACTTCTTCCTCTTCACGAGCCAACAACCCAAGGAACAAACAGAACCCATTTCACCATCAAATCCATTCTAACACTGAAAAGTTTGTACATCATTCTAGGACCTTTGTTGTCCATTATTATCTGCCTCCTCGTGAAGTTTGATGATGCTCCAGCTAGCAGCCAAAAAATGCTTGCTGTGATTGCTTGGGTTTTCGCTTGGTGGGTCACCCAAGCCGTGCCACTTCCTGTCACCTCCATGTGTCCCCTGTTTCTTTTCCCTCTCTTTGGGATTGGTTCTTCTGACAGTGTAGCTCACTCTTACATGGACGATGTTATCACGCTGGTTTTGGGAAGTTTCATACTTGCCCTCGCCGTGGAACGTTACAACGTTCACAGAAGACTCGCCTTGAATGTGAGTCACTCCTTTTTTGCTTTATTGGCTTCTATTTTCTTCATCACATGAATCATCATCAAAATGGCATTTTTTTCCTTAAGTTGAGTTTATATTAATGTTTTTCCTCTCTCTCCTTTTTTTTCTTTTTAAAGACATAATATAAACAATTAATGTTTGTTTTTGCAATTTTTGTGTAAACATTTCATTGGAAGACACTCAATTATTGGCTTTAAGAAATAATTGAAGTTTAGAGTTATCTCCCACATCCCAATACAGAATGATGAGAGGTTTTCTTTTTCTGTCTTCTTATTAAATGAGATTATTATACTCTGTCTCTTTTTTTTTATATTTCTAATTTTATTTTATTTTGGCTGCGAATGCGAACAATAACATGACGTGGGTCCCACAGGTAACATTGTTGTTTTGTGGCGATCCTCTGAATCCAGCGATGCTGCTGCTAGGTTTGTGTGCCACGACATTCTTTGTCAGCATGTGGTTGCACAACGTGGCAGCAGCGGTGATGATGATGCCGGTGGCTACGGGGATCCTACACGGGCTGCCACCGCCGCACGAGCAATCGGAGTTGGTAAACAAGTTCAGTAGGGCGGTGGTTCTGACGGTGGTGTTTGCTACGCCGATTGGAGGGATAAGCACTCTAACGGGGACAGGTGTGAACTTGATATTGATTGGGATGTGGAAGAGTCTTGTCCCTGAGGCAAAACCAATCAGCTTCAACACGTGGTTCTTCTTTGGTTTCCCTGTGGCTGTTCTCATCCTCATATGCTTTTGGTGTATCATTTGCTTGCTCTATGTCCGAAAGGGTTCGGGTCAAGCTTTGTCTGGTTATTTGGATAAAGCCCACTTGAAGAGGGACCTCGAAGCTCTAGGTAATTTCCTCACTTCAATTCTATTCAGTTTTTCACTTAAACACTAATAAGAAGAAAATAGAAATGCTAATGACATATTTTTTTATTCTATTTTTTTTAATATTTCATGTAAACATTATAAATAATAAATAAATTTAACTTATTTAATAGACTTTATGTGAAAATTTTCATTTGTTGAAAAAAGTGTTAAAAGAGCTCGCAATATATAAAGGAGGCGGAAAAAAGTTATTTTATTTAGTCTTGCTTCTTTGTTTTCCATTTATTTCCCATCTTTTATGCTTCTTTGTCGTTTTCTTTGTTGTTTTGTTGACATTTACATCTTATTCCTGTTATTCACTGCTGCATTGAAAAAGTCTATGCATATCTATGCAATGATTAGAGTTCCCTCAATGCAAGATTCCATTCTTTTTTTTTGGGATTAGTTTGGAGAAAAATGTATACAGTTCTATCATTTAAAGTAGAGAAAAAGAAAATCACGAGAGAGAATGAATAAGAAAAAGAAAATCATGAGAGAATGAATGACAAAAATTTTAAATATGTGAGTCTCATTTCTTTATAAGAGTGAAAAGAGGTAAGGTGTGTCCTTTTCCACTTAATTTTATAACTTACTTAAAAAAATTAAAGCTTATAAAAATATTTTAAAAAACTTACTCACCTCAAAAAGATAGTTACAATCATTATATATAAAATAAAATTTCTATGCCTATGTAGCACACAGGGGTTCATGTAACCTCGGTGGGGTCATTTCCGAAAAATATTAATATTTTTATATTATGTGATACTAGACGTATTTTTTATTAATTTTTTTTTATCGAATCAAGTACATTATTTTTTTCTATTCGAAAAATTATATAATTTTCTTTAGAGATTATATTATTGGCCTTTTTTTTTTTTTGAATATGATTATATTATTGGCCTTTAGACTTTAGAACATGAAATAAAAAATTTGAGTGAAATTCCAATTTTAATTATAATGGTATTTAAAACTTAATCGATCTTCCAAAATCCTAAATTAATAATAGGGTATTTAGAATTAGTTGTGACTTGTGAGTGAGATTATTCATTATAGCTCATCACAAATAAAAGATTTATTTTTATACAAAAAAAAAATGAATAATGATTTATTTGTGATGAGCTATAATGAATAATCTCACTCACAAGTCACAAATAAAAGATTTATTTTTATACAAAAAAAAATAAAAGATTTATTTATATTAAAATATATTAATATATAGCACATTCATATTTAAAAAAAATGGAGTGTAATTTATAAAATATGAAAAGAGAGAAGCATAATATGAGCGTCTTTTAAAAAATAAAAATGTAACTTACTATTTTTTATTAAGCATTAGGAGAATTATTAAGACAATAAAAAAAATAACAAAACTCAATTAGGAGAATTTTATGAAGTGATTAATGATATTTTTGTTTATGAATCATTAAAACTAGATTGAAAAGCGGAAAAAAGAAAAAAGAAAAGACACGGAGTCAGTACGAGAAAGTAAAATGTAACACGTTTGGTTTTTCTCAGCTACATGTTGCGGTAATCTAGTGGAACTAGTTATCCAATTGAGAAAGAATGTCTCTGTAGCCGGCACCGCTTGAAGTTCATTACCCAGAAAATGAAAAGAAATAAAAAGCTGCTGGGAAGGTCATGGTCATGGACATATTTGGAAATTGGAATGGCTTAACCCCTTGAAGTTACTCACTGCATCTTAAACAACACCCATTATTATATACACGTTTCACAATATTTCTTTGATAGTTTTATATTTAAATTATAGTTTTAATGAAATAAAAGAAATATTTATAATATTTGCTCCAAAAAAATCTGATACAGTTGCAATTCTGTTACGGTTGTCTGCAGGTCCCATGGCTTTTGCTGAGAAGATGGTGTTGTCTGTGTTTGGTGTATGTATGCCTAAATACAAATTTCAAATTTCAATGTCTTAACCGTATGGGGTAACTTGTTTTTATTTTCTGAGTCATTAACGAACGGTATGGTACTATGGTGAATGCAGTTGCTAATCATACTATGGATGACAAGAAGAATCACAGATGAAATTCCTGGATGGGGAGCTTTATTCCATGGGCTTGTTGGTGATGGAAGTGTCAGTGTAAGTAATATCTTTAGTTTTTGAGGTTTTTTTAGTTATGACCCATTACACCCAAAAATTGGAGTCCCCAATCAAACAGAACCAAAATGAGTCCTTTTATATGTGTAAAGAGGTCACCAAAGCTCTCATATAATGTAAAGAATCAATTTAATCCAAAACCATAAAGTGTTGGGTGAGTGCCTTTTTAATGGTTTATGTAATGTAGGTATTGGCGGCTGTCTTATTGTTCATAATCCCAAACATGAAGCAAGAGGGGGAGAAGCTAATGAACTGGAATGAATGCAAGAAGTTACCATGGAACCTCATTTTGCTTCTAGGAGCTGGGTTTGCCTTGGCTGATGGAGTGCAATCTAGTGGTCTAGCAGATGTTCTGTCCAAAGCCTTAGATTTCTTGGAAAATGCTCCATACTTGGTCATTGTTCCTGCTGTAAGTCTAATATGTAGCATTATTACTGAGTTCATCACCTCCAATGATGCCACTGCTACACTTCTTGTCCCACTTTTGTACCACATAGCCAAGACTATGCATTTGCATCCCCTTCTTCTTATGGTCCCTGGAGCAATAGCAACTGAGTTTGCTTTCTGGCTTCCATCTTCAACACCATCAAATGTAGTTGGATTTGCCACTGGACACATTGAAATTCAAGACATGCTCAAAGTTGGTGTGCCACTTAAGGTTGCTGGGATTGTTGTGCTGTCTTTTCTGATGCCAACACTAGGTGAGTTATTGTCTATGTTCTGGTAGACATTTGCTTTGAGAAAATCAATTTGGTTGAAAGTGGATTCTGACGTGTAAGTTTTGCTATTGCAGGAACTATAGTTTTTGGAACAAATGACAATACTCAATGGCTGACAAAGGCAAACTATCGTTGGTTACGAAATTGATTTCTTCCCCAAATTCAACTTTGCTATATAAATTTTGGGTGGGTCTGTTATTATTCACAGAATCTTCTTTATCCTGGAGATGAACGACATTATAAATGTGCAAGGGCCTTATGTTATATTTGGGCAACTATACCCTGTACAGATATTAATAGGCAAAGAAGGGAGAAAAAGATATACATCTTTGTTTATTGATTTTATTTTGTATTTTTGTCCTCTCGAAGAAAAGATTTTATCAATTTCTGTTGTAAGCTTTTCTTCGACCAATTAATGACTGAAGATTTATTTATGGGTTCGAGTTGCTGTTACCAATTAATTTCTATGTTCAATTGTTTTATAAATTTTTTTCTATGGTTATTTGGTTATGCAGTTTACGGGATTATATTATATTATATATGAGGTATTTTTGTCTCATAAGTCATAACCTTTTAAGTTAGAATTTTATTAGACATCATACAATAAAATATACAATGTAACATTTTCTTCTCATGATTAAAACCTATCCTACCATTACCAAAAAAAAAAAAAAAAACCTAACCTACACGTATATGGCAGTATGACGTGGGTCCTATATCTCGCCAAAGTTAAACTTCATTATATATTGACTTACCAAACTCTGTTCATATTTTAATTATAACTACTCATACATATAGCTAGTTACAATACTAAATACGGTATAAATAAAGATGGCCATGCTCTTGAAAATAATTAACTCTTTTCACTTGCTAACTAAGCATCAGTGATAATTCTCATAATGAGTTTTCGAATTATGACTACTTCTAGCCATAATAATTATGAAAAATCCCACTTTTAATATCTTTTTGTAATACAGTGATTTTTTTATTTATAGCTCAAATCCAAAAGCAAGAGACTTTTACGTAGATACCCAAATTTGTCAAAAACTTAGTCCAAGCAAAAAATATATATACTTATAACAAAAGTGGAATAGAACAAGAACAAATGAACAAAGAGAATAACAAGATGGAAAAAATGGAGAGCTGCAAAAAATCAACGATGAACTATTAGAGTTCAATTTTGGAACAACGATGGGTCTGCTTGATTGTGTTCTGATTTTTTTGTTTTTAAAATTGTTTCGTAAAATAGTTATGAAAACAGTTATTTTTTATATTTTTTAATTTTTGAAAGTTAAAAATCAAAACAGAAAACAACTCAGACATGTTTTTTAATTTTGATTCTAAAAATAAAAAAACAGTTATAGTTTTCAAAACATTTTTTACAAAATAGGCCTTACCAAACGAGTTTTTTAGTTTTTTTTTTCTCAAAACTAAAAAATTGTTTCTAAAACCAACAATCAAACAGAGCCGATGTTTTTATTCTTTTCGGGCACGAGTACGTTGGTTACTAGAGATAAGGATTGGCTAGTTAAGTTACTGAATTAGGATTCGAAGGTTAAAAATTGATTTGTTTCTTTTGGTTCTTGAACCACATCCAATGAAATTATTCGATTTTTGAACCAGTTAAAAATATGATTACTTTTTTGTTTGTGTAATATAAAAAAAAGTACATAAGCGCCAAAACAGCGCAAAAAGCGTCGGGAAATGTTGAAATAGTGCAAGCGCCAAAAATTATTAAAATGGCGCAAGATGTGCCATAATCTAAAAAAACGTGTATAACAACATTAAAATAAAAAGTAAATAAATAAATATTAAAATATTCCAAGTTTACCCCCAATCAGAGAAACTGAATTATCTATTGATTCGATACCTGGAGTAGGACTAATTTCTAAGCACCCTATAGGATGTCGCTTATAGAGCTTGTTGAACTAAATAAACAAATAGAAGAACTTTTATCAAAATAATTCATCAGACCAAATGTGTCACCCTGTGGAGCACCAGTGCTCTTTGTCAAGAGAAAGGATAGAAGTATGAGGCTGTGTGTGGACTATAGACAACTGAATAAAGTCACCTTAAAAAATAAATATACTTTGCCTAGGGTAGATAACCTTTCAGATCAGTTGAGAGTAGCCACAATATTTTCTAAAATAGATCTAAGGTCAGGATATCATCAAATCAGAATTAAGACTGAAGATATTCCAAAGACAACCTTTAGGACTAAGTACAGACAATATGAGTATCTAGTGATGCATTTTGGATAAAAGCTCCAGCTGTATTCATGGATTACATAAATAGAATTTTTAGGTTTTATCTGGATCAATTTGTAGTAGTATTCATTAATGACATTTTAATATATTCTAGGAATGCAGAAGAACATAAGAAGCATTTGAGAATAATTTTACAGATTCTAAAAGATAAGTAATTGTATGCCAAACTTTCAAAATGTGAATGAATGGAAGAAGTTAAATTCTTATGACATGTTATTTCAAAAGAAGAAGTGTCATTTGATCCTAGTAAAATTGAGGTTGTAATGCACTAGGAGAGACCTAAGTCTGTCATTGAGATCAAGAGTTTTCTAGGATTGTAAGATATTATAGAAGTTTTATTAATGAATTTTCATAATTAATATTACCTCTAACTAGGTTAACTAGAAAGGAAATTCCTTTTGTTAGAACACATGAGTGTGAGGAATATTTTCAAGATTTGAAGAATAAGTTGACATCTGCACCAACTTTAACAATCCCTGATCCATTAGGAAAATCTGAAGTTTACAGTGATGCTTCTAGAAAGGGATTACTATGTGTTTTAATGCAAGAAAAAAAAGTTGTAGCTTATGCATTAAGACAATTGAGACCTTATGAAGAAAATATCCAACTCGTGACTTAGAATTGGCGGCAATAGTTTTTGCACTTAAGATTTGGAGACATTATTTATATGGTATCAAATTTGAGGTTTTAGTGATCATAAGAGTTTTAAATATTTGTTTGACCAAAAAGAATTAAATATGAGGCAAAAAATGTGGTTGGAATTTCTAAAAGATTATGATTTTGAACTTAAATACCATACAAGAAAAGCAAATATGATGACTGATACTTTAAATAGAAAATCTTTACACATATCACATTTAATGATCAAAGAAATTAAATTATTAGAAAACTTTAGATATATGATATTATCTGTGACTGTGTTGCCTCGAAATTTAGATATTAGTGAAGTAAAAGCTGCTAATGAGTTAATAGACAAGATTATAAAAGCTCAGTAGGAAGATTATAGTGTAGAAAATTTTTTGGAGTAGGAAGGATTTACCAAGGGAGATGATGATTTGGTGAAATTTCAAGGAATGATTTTTATACCTAAAAAACTGGTGAAAGAAGTGTTGGATGAGTCACATAGCAGTAAGTTCACAGTTCACCTTGGTACCACTAAAATGTATTAGTATTTGAAAAAGATATTTTGGTGGCCATGAATGAAAAAAGATATTGCTATGTATGTTTCAAAGTGTTTAGTTTGTTAAAAAGTACAAATTGAACATTAAAAGCCTTCATGATCAATTCAATCATTAGACATACTAGAGTAGAAGTGGAAAATTGTAGCTACTGATTTTGCCATGGACTTACCAAGAACCCTAGAGAGGTATAATGCAATTTGGGTAATCATTGATCAATTAACCAAATATGCTTATTTTCTACCAATTAGAGTCCAATATTCCATTGAGAGGTTAGCCCACTTGTATATAATATAAATTCTCAAACTTCATGCGGGTACCTTTAAGTATTGTGTCAGATAGAGACCCTAGATTTATTTCTAGATTTTGGGAATCTTTGCAGCGAGCCTTTGGAACTAAGTTGAGACTTTTTAGTACCGAATATCATCCTCAACCTGATGGTTAAACCGAGAGAACCATTCAAACTTTAGAGAATATGTTTAGAGCTTGTATTCTTGAACAAGAAGGTAGCTGGAAAAGATACTTGCCATTGATGGAATTTGCCTATAAAAATAGCTTTCACTCTAGTATTGGAATTACACTGTATGAGGCAGTCTATGGAAAGGAAATGTAGATGTCAAGTGAGTTGGTATTAAAAAGGAGAAAAGCAACCGTTAGGACCAAAATTAGTCCAAGAAATCTCGAGATAAATTCAGATGATCAAGGAAAATCTTAATAAAGCTCAAAGTAGACAGAAAAGTTATACTGATGACAGACATAAACTTTTGGCTTTTGAAGAAGGAGAACACATCTTTCTCAAACTTTCTCCTACTACACGTGTAGGCAGAACCCTCAAAGTTAGGAAATTGAGTTCTATGTATATTGGTTCGTTTCAAATACTTTGAAAGATATGGCCAGTTGCTTATCAACTTTCTCTTCTACCTCATCTTTTCAATCTCCATAGTGTTTTTCATATATCTTATTTTAAAAATATGTCCTAAATCCTTATCATATTTTTGATATAGTCTCCATACAAGTTAAAAAGAATCTCACCTATTAATATAAAGTTAGCCCAAATCCTTGATAAGAGTTTGAAGCAACTGAGAAATCAAATAATTTCGTTAATCAAAGTACATTGGAAATGACATTCACCACATGGGAAACACATGAAGCTACATGAGAAAAAGAAGAGATTTACGACAAAATTATCCTAAAATTTTCTTAGCAGATATGTCAAAATTTTGAGGATAAAATTGTATTTAGGAAGGGGAAATGTAATAAAAAGAGAGTATTGTTGACGTGGCACTGTTCACCCATGCAAAGAGCGCAAGAAAATGATGAAACAGTGCAAGAAGGGCCAAAAACTAAGAAGACGCATATAAAATTTGATACTGTTATCGAATAACATCATTACAATAAAAATAAAAAATAAAAAATAAAAATAATATATATATATATATATATAATATAAAAATAATAAGTTAAAATAAAAAAATAAATATTAAAATAATATATATAAGACAGTAACACATGTAAGCACTCCAAGATACTTAGAAAATTTTATCTAGATTAGATGACGATTGCTTAGATGACAATTACTTAGATTTTTTTTAACTACAATGATTACTTAGATAAATTTAACCAGAATATAGTTAGTCCTATTAAAATCTAACTAAAATAAATGATTAAATTTTTTTGACTAGTCAGCAACTTATATATATATATATATATATTCACCTAACGAGAAAGAAAAGTGAAAACAGAGAGGACAAAGACAGGGAAATAGAGAGAACCGAGATCGAGAAAGAAGAGAGGAAGGTAATATTGAGAGATAAAAATTTTCTCTCATTTTTCTTGTTTTAACTATTTTTTTAAAATTGATTTTTTATTGGTGTTGTTACTCTGCCAGTTCCTTTCTTAAATTTCTTTTTCTACTTGACTTTATTTCTACGATTAGCTTTATTATTATTTAGTTCTAAAATTTGATTTCTTTTCAAAGTTACTTATCAGACTTATGAATTATTTGTTACCAAATGAATATTAAGAGATTATATAAATTTTAACTATATGATACTGTTGTGAACTGACCCATAAAATTTGGGTTCTAACAGTTATAGGGTAAAAGACGCCTTATCATGGCTTGAGCTTCGCCATACAGAACCTTTCACATTCAGAGATCCACAAAATTGAGATTTAATTAGCTTCAGTTAAATATTACATAATTTATTATTTATTACTATGAGGGAGGATATTCTTACTACCAAAATTTGCTAGTACTAACTTACTACCTATCTAATCACCATTGAATCAAAGTGAGAGAATGCTAAAAAGTTTTTGAAAAAAGAGAAAATGTTAATCCAATGGTGATTAGATAGGTAGTGAGTTGGTAGTAGAAAATTTTGGTAGTAAGAATATCTCTCCTCTATTACTATTTCTGATATTACTTCATTTTTATGAACTTACTTGAGAGAATGATATTTTTCGTTATTACGACTGAAATAATTATAGTTAGAAAACCTCAATATTACTGAGATTTTTCTCACGTTTGTTTGTTTTGTGCTAACTTTTCTAAAGAACTATCATATGCCAAGTCTATACTTGTCAGGTGAAGGATGGGCAGTTACTGTTTATATTTATGAAGACTGTTCAGAATTGTACTTAGTAATTGAAAATCAAGGAGTTGTAGTGTAACAGCCCCAAACCCTGTAGCATGATATTGTCCGCTTTGCCCTCGGGCTCACGGTTTTGTTTTTTGGGACACCCCACAAAAGGCCTCTCACTAGAAGAGGTATCCACACCCTTATAAGGCATGCTTCGTTCCCCTCTCCAACCGATGTGGGACGTTACATCCTCCCCCACTGGGAATACAGCGTCCCCGCTGTACACACCGGTCCAGGGCCAGGCTATGATACCAAATGTAACAGCCCCAAACCCTGTAGCATGATATTGTCCGCTTTGCCCTCGGGCTCACGGTTTTGTTTCTTGGGACACCCCACAAAAGGCCTCTCACTAGAAGAGGTATCCACACCCTTATAAGGCATGCTTCGTTCTCCTCTCCAACCGATGTGGGACATTACATGTAGCTATATTCTATTTAGATTTTAGACAGTGTGAAAACTTATACATATAGGCTAGATTAAAGTGAGACTTATGTATTGTATAAATTTGTAACTTTAAGTAGTTAGAAATGTAATATATGTATGGTACTGATGTAAAATGATTTAGAATGTGACTTTATTGTAAGAAATTTAAAATGCGAAAAATAATGTACTAACTCAAATCTATGTATAAAATAATGAAGGATGTTAGTTTAATTAGTTGATCTTCGTAAGTTTATATTCCTCTATATTTGTTGTTCTTATTATTAAATTATAATTTAAGAAATAATGTGATATTTTCTATATTAGTTAATTATAGAGAATGTTACAATATGGTTTGATTTCGTTCATATGATTTTTTTCACACCACTAAGTACATGTAGTGCAATTTTCTACCTATTTTTTTAATAAGTAAAATTCTACCTATTTAGCCAAATATTCACTTAACTTATAAAATTCGTTCTATTTAATTATTATTTCTAGTAAAACATACAAGTAATTAAATGTGGTAATATTTAAATATTTTATCATATTGTAACCAAGTACAAGTTTTCTTTTGAATGGGTGCTAATTAAGCTACAAGCTAAAAGATATATTTATGGGCATAATTTATAGTTACACGTAAGCAAACAGTAAAATAAACAAGTTGTGTTATTCTTTTGAGGGTTCGTTTTACTTATTTCAGATAAATTATCTGCAATAAGTTTAATACAACATTGTTTTGGAGCAGAAATTATGGGTTATTTGTAATTTTAATTTATTCCAGGATTATTATAATCTTTATAGTTATAATTTTTTAATTCTAAAACGACGTCATTTTAAAAGTAAATACAAATAACTTATCTGTATTAAAGTGCAGAAATATTTTTCTGTTGTTTTTAATATACAAAGTGGCTTTTTAATGATGTAAAAATTCTATATAATTTGTACTCCTCACTTTTTAATTAATAATTTCATAAATATCTACTAAAAAAATAATTTCATAAATAAATTTTTCAATTCGATTTTATTTATATGTTATTAATATTTTAAGTGTTATTTATTTAATTTAGTAGTTAATAATTAATAACATTATCAGTTACTTATCAAGACAAATTTACAGGGGATAAGATTATTTTTTAGATAAAAAAAATGCTGAATTAAAACTCATAGTATAATTAAACCTTAATCTACATTTACGTGATGTGACAGAATCAGGCATTAATTTTAAAAATTAAACATTAATCTACATTTATTTGATGTGACACAAATTGCTTTATATATGCATATTTATAAAGCAAATTGTGTATGATTTTCTTCATGGTCACTCATCTATTTATAAAGCAATTTGTGAATTCCACAGTCTTCGTCACCTAATAATCCCAACGTACGCGTAGGGACGGGTAGGTGGTGGAATTGGATGTCTTTATATGTGGACAACAGCACATGGTTCCCTTCTAAATTAATTAGCTCCATGTCACATTATTAATTTATCATGATAGAATCGTCCTTATATATTATTTCCTCCCTTTTCGCCCATGGTTTGGGACATGCATTGCCCCCATTTTCTCATAATTCATGTACCTTGGAGCTGTCCAAATCACACCCCTTCCTTGCCCAAATCCAACGGCAATGTTTCCAGTGAGAAGTTCTTTTATGACGAAGGAGGACAAAATTTTCTTACTCCACAAGTTTAACAACTGTTAAATCTATGTATTTAGTACTTCTTGTGCCCACAAAGCTATGGTAGCTCTAGGAGCATTTAAGAAATTTTTATCTTGTGATCCACAAGTGCCAAGTGGATAACAGCTAAGTTACGTTTCATATACACGTAGACGGTAGGTCGGTGAGTGAAACAATACTTATTAGGAGTAATCTTCTTAGTAATTTAGAATCAGTTTATAATTGATTTAGTAATATTTTATTTTAATGTATAAATGATTACAGGATATCAAGTGTTATGTTCTTAATAAAATGATATAATGCTTTTAAAGTACGTAAATTTTTTTTGTAATGATATATATATATATATATATATATATATATCGTGATATAAGATAGCGTACAAATCATCTATGCATTTTATGCAAAAATATTTAATATTTAAACTTTTTATATTTAGATTTAGAGAATCTATGGTCTGAAAAATGATTAAATCTTTTAATTTATTGTTCTTTAAAGAATGATACCATTATTAACTTCTCTTCTTTCAAATTTATAATTTAAATTAATTTTTTCATTTTTTATTTAAATTATTTATTCACACATTTTTTATGATTTTAAAATTATTAGATATACAATATAGCTATTAGTTAACATGTTTTTAAAATGTGTGTGTCATTGCTTGTGGCATAAAAAAATTCTTAGATACTGCATTAGCTGATTAAATTAAGATGTAATAATATGTATGAGCAAGTATCTAAATTTAAGCAAAAATTAAATATATAAATTAAAATAAAGCATAGAGTAAATACTCTTATCGATCCTCAGCAAATTTCGCGATACTCGCTTTAGTCTCTAGTAAATAAAAAGGCTATTCGTGGTTTCTAAAAAATTTAAAATGAATCTATTTTAGTCTTTTTGAGGGACTAATGTGGATCTTTTTTGAATTTGCGAGGGACCACGATTTCAACTAAATGGGTCCATTTTGAATTTCTTAAAGACTACAAATAGCCTTTTTATTTGCTAGGGACTAAAACGGGTATCGAGAAATTTGCTGAGATCAAAAAATGTATTTACTCTAAAACATATTCAAACTATTTTGTTAAAATTATAAAGAATCTACTTAATTTAAATAAAAATATTTAAATTTATAAAAAAATTAAGAGACTAATTTTACTTTAAAAATATATTTTAACATAATACATGAAAGTAGGTAATTTAAAAATGAAATGTGCGTCACTAAATTAATTCAGTGTCTCCTGGTCCTAGTCGCGAGCGAGTAAATGAGAGATACACGACGAGAGAAAAATAAGAATAATTTAATTTAGTCCTAGGACAGAATTGAAATTTCAGAATGTATTTAATTTTAAAACATAAAAATAATAACATATAATATAACTATATAAGAATGTAACAATATTTGATATGTGGCCACGGCAGTGAGGGAAAGTGGGTTTAACTCGTAATATCCATCAACTACGAGGGCAAAAGTGTATATCACCTATAATCAAATTCAGGGGACGCCCGTTACCTGTGTCCTTCCTCAGTTTCTCCGCTATAAATTGGAACCACCGCACACGATACAGCGCAGAATCCAACCTTAAAGAACCAAAATCATTAAAAAAAAAAAAAATCAGCGGTTACAAAATGAGATTTCACTGCTTTGTTCTCTTCCTTTCTCTGTCGGCGTTCACCTTCACCGCTGTCCGGTCGGAAGCTCGGGTCGGCGGCTGGAAACCCATCCAGAACATCGCGGACCCCCACGTGACAGAAATCGCGAATTACGCGGTTACCGAGTACGACAATCGATCTGGGTCCAAGCTGAAGCTGGTGAAGGTCATCAAGGGTGAGACTCAGGTGGTGGCTGGCACCAACTACCGCCTTGTGCTGGCGGCGAAGGATGAATCCGCCACTAAGCATTACGAAGCCGTCGTGTGGGAGAAGGTCTGGGAGCATTTCAAGAACCTCACTTCCTTTAAACCTCTTAATTGATATATAATCATAATGTGCCATTTTGTCTATTATAAAGATGTTTCAGAGTATTTTCTTGTATCTTGTATTCCTTTCTCTCTATTGGTTTTGCCAATAAAGAAAGACAGGGATATACATATACTAATGGAGGTCAAATTATAATAATAGTTAGACGCATCTTTTCTGGCTTTGGCGTTTTTCTGGAAATTTTATTTGTGTGATCTCTGCTTTCGAGGTTTTGAAATGATTATTATCTCTTGCTTAATTCAAATTTCACGGGGTCAATTTTGGAAAGAATGAAGAAAAAAGTAGAAAGGTTCATAGAAGAGGAAAAAGATTATGCTTTGGAGGTTCATAAGATTATGTCTAGATTTTGAATCATAAAAGTAGATATTTTAAAATAATATTGGGAAAAATTATAGTGCTTCTTGGTTGGTAAGAACTATTTTAAAATCTTCATGGTCCTCACGGAAACTCTTTAAAATCTTCATAATCCTATCCATACTGATGTTTTCTATTAACATGATCAAATGTGCATGCTTCCTAGTCAATCCTATATTCCTGTCTTGTCATTTCTCATCTCGTGTCCCGTTACGGTAATTTGGTATTGTTATTTTGTTACACTGTCATTATAGTGGGTATTGATTAACCAAGTCCAAGAAGCAAGCTTTGAACAGAAAACAAAGAATTGTTACACTGTCGTTCCAAACTTGAGAAATTGCATTGTAACTTGTCAAAATGCGTTTCCATGAATTCAAGTGACCAAACCTCTTTATGGTACATTTAAAACTTGCATAGACCGCAAAGAGCAATTCAGTGTGGCTATAATCACAAAGATACATAAACATGAAACTCAATCACGCCTGGCCTCTATATAATTCTTAAAGAAGTTTCCAAGTTGCAATAAAAATTTCATTCCAAGTTACTAAGAGTTTGCCTGAACTTGTGTTCGAGAGGCATGTTACTTCTTTGGGTCTTAAGAGGATCCCAGACTTGCATTAAGCAAGTGAGAGTTATTGGTTTCATTGTGCTCTTGGAGTAAGACGATGAAACAATAAAATAATTTTCTGAATTTCATAAATAAGGTTTTATTTATTTATTTTGCGCACTATTTACAAACATAAAGGTCCGGATCAAATTGTGGAGTACATGATCATATGGATACGTTCATAGAGGACATGATCATAGGTTCTCACAATTGATGAATGGATTCACAGCTGTTAAATAAAGTTGGGCACTTTATTTAGGCTGCAATATTTTATGAAATGGTTTTGTCTGAATCATTGTAAAATATTGGTGTGAGTTAACATTCACATTGAAAGGATCAAGGAGAGATTTGATTAAGGTTGTTTTTCTGTCATAAGGTATCAAATCTCTAGTTAACTATAGTTATGTAATTGCTCTTAATCCTGAGTTTATTATAAATAGGTAATCAAATAGTTTTCATTCTTTGATTTACCAACGGGTGAGGTTCGATCTATTGACGACCAATAACTCGGTATTTTGGGAGTGAGATTATTTGATTATCGGTATTTATGAGATAAACAACATGGAATTTGTAGGATATGTCCCCTTGATATGTTTCGGTACTTGGATATTAAAGACACTGGCCAGTGCATGTAATCCATTAGAGAAACTATCATAGTCAATGGAATAAATAATTGATTGAGTTACAGAAAACTTGTCAATCAATTATAGACATTCTACAAAGGGGCGATGCATATTCATGTTATAAGTGTTGTTAATCTTGGAGTTCAAGTTCGGGCTTTTAGTGGAGTAGCACCGAATTAGATAATCATTCGTTGATTATCAGGAGCCTTGATTAATAACAGATGGTAGATCCCCAAGCTAGCTTGAGACAAGGGATGGGGTATTTTTCGGATAGATGATGATAGCTTATGGGCTACATGATCTTGGGTTTACGAACTCAAGTTTGTATCTTCAAGAGCAAGTGGGAGATTGTTGGATATATGCTCTTTTGGTCACTAAAGTCCTATTGGGCTTCAGTGAAACTTGAGCCCATGAGGCTTAGGGTTGAGTTATGTCTAAGACCTAAGCGTATATATTCATAGTTTTCTCCTCTTGTGCCTCCAAGGTGAACAGATCATCAGAAACAAACCCCAAGAGGCAGACGTTCATCATCTGAACGGTTGCCCACACAACCATCTCATCCTCCTCGAGAGATAGTCTGGAAGATCTGCCACAGTCCAGCTTCAAGGAGGTTGTTCGTGCTGCGGCGCTGAGGTGAGCTGTTCGTGAAGAGGAATCCTACAAGGGAAGATTCTACACGAGACCTGCGCACCGAGAGGTAATTGTGAAACAAGGATGATTCGGTAAGCATACCAATGTACTAGGTCCTAAACCGCTTCCGCATAAATCTAAGATTTCCTACACGAAAGAGTCCACTTATCTAGAATTTCAACTACGAAAGAGGAAGCACAGGGCTTAACAATACTATTTGAAGGAGCACAAGTTATGAGCTAATAATAAATAGAAAAGCAACCTAAAGTAATGGTATATAGTAACAAACCAAATTGAAATGAAGAGCTCAACAAATCAAATTATGTTAGGTATCTGAAACTAAATCTGTATTATTCATCTATAAAATGTCTTTATATGAGCTTCTGGAACTGATATCAACAAGATATTGGTTGAGAGACAAATTCACCAAAATATGGAGATACAACAAGGAAAAAAGAGAACACTAGAGGAGCTTCGAGGGTCCTGCTTCCTTCATTCAATGAATTGCTGTGCATCCAAACGACGTACGAATGAAAAAAAAAAAAACTATTAGCACAGAGTGGGAAGTTACCTCTTTTCCAATATTCCTAAATGCAGTTTCTTCTTTTATGTCCAAATCTTCTTGACCCTTTTCCTCTGTGTTTTTCCTCAAGAGGGAAAAAGACATTTTTATGAAATGCATTCTTCTTTTCTTTTCGTCTCTGTCTCATTTATTTTCTTAACATGCTGTTTTTCTTCACTTTTTCCAAAGAAAGAACTTTCTTCCACTGTCAGCGATTTGATCAAAGAAGCAGAACAGAGGCGGGAGTGAAAAGATAGCCTCGAAGGGAAATCAAAATTCTCGTGGTACTAAAAATTAATAAAAAATAAAATTTATTAGGATAAGTGATATGAAATACTATACACGTGTTATATTTTAAATGGAAGTGGTATGGAGCCGTGGATACTAGGGTGTTACTAAAAGTTTTTCTCCGCGGGAGATAATTTTATCTCCGGCTAATAAATCATAATCGTATAAAGATGGATAAAGGAAGAGAGAGAAAAAGAGAATCATAACCATATGTGAATATATATTATATAAGGAAATAAATAAACAAAACGACGTCGTTTTGGAGTGGCCAGAGATAAACTTATCTCAAGTTGTCAGATAAATATTTTTTTCATATATATATATATATATATATATGTGGGCATATTCTTTTTATATCAGTGTAAGACTACAAGTCTTACACCACATCTCAACTGTTGATGGACGAAAATCATTGATTGGTATTTCAAATGTAATTATTGATTAATTCATATAATTTCCTAAGTTATAATCGTTGGATGCACGAAAATCAATGATTGAGATGTAATGTAAGAATTATAAGTCTTAAACCGGTGTAAAATGATCCTAATTTATATATATATATATATATATATATATATATATATTGAGGTTCTTTTACACCAGGGAGAAATTGAAAGCTACTATCCAAGCCTTGTCTGAACAATTCCATGAATTATTAACATAATTGTCCAAACTAGCCTTTTAGATGTCTTGGCCATCGGAGATAGCTTCACAAACAACCTAGCAAATGACCCAACACGCTCCATTTCTTTATCAGTCACTATTTAGTTTGCAAGACTATTATAGACCTACAATTACTAGATACACTTTCCTAATCACTTGTCATATCGAGTTACTTCAACTTCCAACCCTAAGGTAGTGTTTGGTTCGATGCTTCTCAAAATTTTCCTAGCAAAGTGAGAACGGGTTTCTTTCTTCTCCACGTTTGGTAAATGGATTTGGTGTCTCTTCCCCATCAATGATGTTTGTCTATCAATCTATGATAACAAAGGAAATCCAATTTTGAACAGTGTTTTGAAACCCTTTTGTGAAGGTGGTTTTCTCCATAGAAAGCGGATATCTGAAAATGGTGGGAAATGCACGACAAATATACCCCTCCAATCTTAACCACACGTCGACTACCCCAAAACCATGTATCATTCTGACAAAACTTGAGATGCGAGTTGAGGGTTTAGAATTTCATCACTCCTTTTGAAAGCCACAATCGAAGGAACAATTCTTGAGATATGGTTTGGGTAAGCTTGATTTGGAGCATTGCCAAACTGTGTGGCTTGAGGAAAGCCCATTTGGATTCAGGCCAGATTGGGAAAAACATGTTCTAAAGCGTCTAAACCCGATGTACATGATGATGTTTTCTAAATCATATGATGATATTAGTGAAGTTTCAGTTGCAAATTATGTAATTCTGATAGCTGGCTAGTCCATCAAATCTCCAAAGTGATGTTGTTTTTGCAGAAGCTGGCCGCTTGGAGAAGACAGGACAAACAGAGACGAAGAAGGTTAATTTTGTCATTTTAATTCCTTTTCCCGTCAAAAACTTATTTTCAACCAAACATACATCAGTTTATTTAACCCAATTTTTCCATCTATATTTTGCGGTACCAAACAACTTTTTTTAAACTTTCCTACCAAACTTACTTTCCTTCCATTTTCCTATCAATTACATTTTCCTAGTATCAAAAACTTTCTCCTGAACCAAACACTACCTAAATCCCCAAATCCATCATTACCCACCAACCTCAAACCAAATTGGAGTACCACAGTCGATTCATCATTTGTTGTTGGAGTAAATTAAAGGCTAAAAGGATTGTGTTTCCACTGCAACGAGACTTGTGCTTTAGGCCACAAATGTAAGAAGATGTCCTTAATTTATGCCATGATGGAAGGAAGTGATAGAGATGCAAACATGAATTTGGAAGAAGACTCGATCATGTGAGCTTAGTCTTGAGGACAAGAGTAACTTTTAAGAGGGAGGGAAAGTAAGGAATCACTATTTTGTTATTTGTTATTTGTTGAGTGAGTCCGAGTAATGGATAGGATCAATTATTTCCTACTCTCTTAGAGATAGGGAGTAAATTTCTATTTTTTAGTTCTTTTATTTCTAAATATAGTTGTGTTGAATAAAA